ATCTAGTATTTCTTGTAAGATAAGTCTGTTAGTGATAAACTCACTCAGCTTTTGATTGCCTAGAAAAATACCTACCTTTTCTACATTTCCAAAAGACAGGTTTGCTGGGTATAGTATTCTCCATTGGCAGCTATTCCCTTCAGCACTATGAATATATAATCCCATTCCCTCCTGGCATGTGCTGTTTCTGCTGAGAAGTCTGCTACTGGGTATATCAGAACTCCCTTTTGTTATTTTCTTTTGTTTCTCTTTCTGCCTTTAGGATCCTTTCTTTATCTTTTACTTATTTCCCCCTGCATTTGCCAGAGGGCATGTGCACTTGCCTGAGGATGTGTGTGCTTGCCAGAGAGAAACAGAGACAAAGCGAGGGTAAAAGTACACTCTCAATGGAACTTGATCATACTGCAGCCCTTTCTCCCCATGGCTTCATTCTGTCTGGATATTGGGCATGCATGTACATGTGCCTAGCATGTTCATTGCCATTGATGCCAGGATTCAAACCATAGCTAGCTATGTAGGATTCAACTCTCTTAACCACCTGGCCATGGGGCTGGCCCTGTCTTTGACTTTTGATAGTTTAATTATAATGTGTCTGGAATAGTCTTATTTGGATTGAATCTTTTTTTTAAGAATTATTTTATTTAACTTTATGTATTTATTTATTTTAATTTGACCAGAGAGAGAGAGAGAGAGGGAAAGTGAGAAAGCAAGCCACCAGGTCTGGGACTTGAACCACAGTCGGTCATGTGGGAGTCCAGTGCCCTTAACCACATCATCTGCCAGCCTCATATCTTCTGATGACTTTTAACCTTCCTACATTTATCTTTCTCCACATTTTCTGCTATTATTTTATTAAATGTGCTTTATATTTCTGTTTTTCTCTACTCGCACTTGAACTCCAGTGATCCAAATTACGCTCTTTTGATGTCTCATAAATTCTGTGAGCTTTCTTAGTTCTTTTTTTTTTCTTTTTCTCCTTCAATATATATTTTCAAATAGCCTATCTTAAAACTCACTGACTCTGCTAAATTAATGAACTGTTTCTCTGTATTTTACATTTGCTGGGTATTCTTTTAAAAAAAAATGAGAGAGTTTTTTTCTATAGGGCATATACACACTCTCCAGAGAGAGAGAGAGAGGGAGACAGAATGACAGAAAGTGAGAAATCACCCCCCAGAGAGGATGGCCACACTGCAGTATCTTCTACTCCATTCTCCTCTTGGGACTTTGGGCATGCACTCACATGCACCTGGCATGAATTTTAAGCCATCAGGTCCAGGACTCAAACCATGGTTGACTATGTGAGAGTCCAGCAATGTAACCATTACACCATTTGCTTGTCCCTGCTGGGTAACCTTTATAATAGCTGTTTTGAATTATTTTTCAGGCAGATCATCTGTCTTCATTTTTAAAAAGTCTATTACTGGTACCTTATTTGTTCGTTTGGTAGCAGCATCGTGTTTCCCCAAATGTTCTTCTTGGTCCCGCTTCCATGACTGTTCTTGATTGGTCACGTGCCAGTGTTGGCATATTAGGGAACTGGTATTTATTCCAGCCTTCATGTCTTTACAGGGAAATGTTCTGAGATCGACACTGTGACTGAGGTCAGAGTATCAGTCCACAGAGGCATTACTAGACATGTCTCCTTTGGGGTTCCCGTAACTGCTCTCTGTTCACAGATGAGAAAGACTAAGATTGCGATCCAGGGCCATTTGAGGATATTCGGAGGGACAGAGGTTGGGAATCCTGCCACGGAAACTCTTTTGGCAGGACTCTGGTTGGATAGAACTACTCTGAAACCACAGCTTGGAAGGGTTGAAATCAAGCTTCAGGGCTAATTCAGAGTCTTTTGTGGGACCCATGTTGGCAAAACTAACCTGGTGGCACCAGCAGTCAAGACTCCTAGCCATTCCCTATGCAATCAGGATTCCTCCGAATCCATAGTTGAAAGGAGATGCTGGTAACAACATTCAAGGTCCTTTTCAGAATTGCTGTGGAAGAGAGGCCAGCATTCCTGTTCAAGCACTTCTATCGGGAGTGCCCTGAACAGGTATGATCATTCTAGGGCCATGGTAGGGAGGGGCCCATTGGGGTCTGCTGTGAAAAGGTAACTGGCAAGCCTATCCTGGTGGTTTAGATGGGCCCATTTCCTTCAGTTCCTTTTCCAAGCAGCATTGTGCTGGTGCCACAACTGAAGGGTGCTGATAACTTCTGTGTCCTCTGCCAAGACCAATGTTGGTGGGCAGAAGAGCCTCTAAGGCTGGAGACCTAGGGCACATGATTCCTCCTGATCCTTTGGCAGATGTGTTTGGTTGCAGGCTTAAGGCCAAACAGAGCTATAACCAAGTCCTTCAAAAAATGGGTCTATTTCCAGGCTTGAACTTGGAAGCACCATGTGTAAGTCTGCCAACTAGTGCAATCTGCACTCTCAAAATGACCCTCCTTGGTCCTGGGCTCCACCAGGGTTCCTACCTGAATCTGACATCTCTTTCGAAAAGATTTGTATGGAGATTGGTGCAGAATTCTTATTGTTGCGGGGGTGTGAGTGGATGATCTACTCCACCATCTTACTGACATCACTCTCTGGGTTGACTCTAAATCTGTGCTATTTAATATGGTACCCATTTGTCATATGTGGCTTTTGATACTCTGAGATGTGGCTAATATAACTGTGGGACTAAATTTTTGTATTTTAGTTCGTTTGAATCCATTTAACTTCAAATAACCACACATGACTGGAGACAACCATAGTGGACAGCACAGACTTAAAGCACTGCCTGGCCAGAGCACAGTTATTAGCATTATTTAGTAAATGCTAATCCAAGCATTCACTAGAAGCAGGAGTATTGCGGGTGCTAGGGAACAACATTTACAAATAAGCAATTGGTTATTATCAGCCATGACCAATATCTGGGTAGGAAGGAAAAAACTTAATTTCCAGTAAACATAGAATCTGTGATTGAAAGTAGTTGATTCAATCCATGAGTGAAAGTACTTGCATAAGGGCTATTAGGTGAACTAGTAAGTCACGTGAATCAAGTTGCCAATTTAATTCATTCTTACTCTTTCTCAAAATTTTCTTTTATTTCAGTTTTGACTAGAGTTACAAAATGTGTAACTACATTCAGCATGTACTCAGTGGAAGATAATTTGTAATTTCCTAAAATAAAAAATAAAAAAAAAACTTTTTTCATCCATAAAGCTTATATAAAAGTGTGTGTGTGTGTGTGTGTGTGTGTGTGTGTGTGTGTGTGTGTGTGTGTGTGTGTGTGTGTGTGTGTGTGTGTGTGTGTGTGTGTGTGTTGGTAATATTTCCATTTACCAAAAATCAGAAGAGTAGCTGCTCATTATCACGAAGCGCAAATGTCAAGAACTCAGCATTGGTGAGTGGTATTTAACTTGGGAAGCATTATATTACCAATCTACTGATCTATTCTTCAAAGAGGTATTTCCATGGAATATTGACAAAATCAAGGCCATAAAATGTTTGAAAAAGCATTGGATACCCCTGAGTATGGCATATGCTTTATTCTTTTCTCTGGTCCAAGTAATGGCTCGTCTTCTCCAAAGTGAATACACATAAAAGTTTCTTCTTGATCTAACCTTCTCCAGATTGCCTAAAGGCTCCCTTTATTTAAAGTTTTATGAAAGCAAGAAAATCAGAAACACAACTATGCTGATATGGAATTATTTTTATAGCAATAAAGAAAAGGGAGCTATGCAGACTCCTAAAAGAATTCAATGCAAACAGACGTTTTCTCCCCAAAGACCGATTGTTCTCAACATTTCATAGATGCCATAGGGGGAAGCATCACTTGGTCATCACATAACACAAAAACACTATATGTGGTCTCCATTTTCTTCAAAATAATTGGGAGGAGAGGAGACATCTCCACTTAAATTTTCCAAGCAACGGAGTCAGCAGGTGGCATGATGATTAAGGCACTGGACTCCTAAATGGTTGACTGTGGTTTGAGTCCCAAACCCAATGGCTTGAAACTCATGCCAGATGTGCATACATGAGTGCCCAAAATCCCAAGAGAAGAATGGAGGAGAATGGATTGCAGCATAGCTATACCCCTCCAGGAGATAATTTCTCACTTTCTCTCTCACTGTCTCTCACAATCTCTCCAGTGAGTGTACATGCCACACAGCAAAACCTTTTAAAATATTTTTTTTTTCAAACAGAAAACAGTGATGTTAGACATCGGGCAGGTTTCTATATTTAGTTTGGCTTGAGAGTCTGTTAAATTCTCAGTACAGAAGACAAATGTCAGAAAGGAATTACTGATTTTTTTCTTAACTGCAAGGAAATATACTCCAACCTGAAAGAGTCCTTCCTCTCGTATCTCCACCCATCCCCAGCCTTTTCCCTACTCCAATTTTGTCTACACCAGTGGTTTTCAAGGGAGAGGGAAATTTTCTTCCTAAGGGATATTTGGCAACTTCTAGTGACACTTTTGGTTGGCCTGATTAAAGTGGGGAGTGCTCTTGGCACCTGGTGGGTAGAGACCAGAGATGCTTTTTAACTCTACATTGTGTAGAACAGGATCCACAACAAAGATGGAATTCCCTGGCAAAAATGTCCTAATAGGAAATTTGAGCCCTGTCCAGAAACGATTAACTTGGCTGTCCTCATCATGGACATCCATTGCTACACCAAAGGCATTTCCTCCTGCTGCTGATGGAGAGTAGCCAGTGGCCATGGCTATTAACCTAGCCTTAATTAGGCTGGTTTTATAATGAGGAAAATAATGCAATTTTAATTAGTAATTTTCCATCTTTGTCTCTAAAGTATTTTATTGCTTTGACTGGGAGAGACCCAGTCAAAGCAATAAGCTCTCCCCATCACGGTGGTTCTATTGCCAAAAAGAAGAAAAACAAACTAAAATATACTGTGAAACTTTAGTAAAAAGTGAAAATAGTTAAGAAGACAGGTGAACAGAAAGAAGTTTTACTTGTTGCTAATATGCTGCATTCTCTCTCAACTTGTTTCTTAGGTTCGTGGTGCTCAAATAGTTGGTTCTGACATGGTTGTGACAGTTGAGTTCACCAATCCTTTAAAAGAAACTTTGCAAAATGTCTGGCTATACCTGGAGGGTCCTGGAGTGATAAGATCAAAAAGGAAGATGTTCAAGTAAGTGCTGTGGGGGAACCTGGAAGATAATGGGGGAGGAGAGGGGAGTTTCTCTCTCTCTCTCTTTCTCTCTCTCTCTCTCTCTCGGTCTTTTCCAAATATGCATGTAATCCCTAAAGAAAATATTTTGGAAGCCATTACTTCCTTATTTACCATTTCTCTGAGCCATGGAGTAAAAACAAGGTTGGCTTGATCAGCACTTCCATCATTTAATACTTAAAACTACCCTAATGAGGTTATGATTATTATCTCTCTCTACATTGAGGAATTTGAGACTTTGAGAAGTGGACTGGTTGACCCCCATATTCTATAGTTTATGCGAGTAGAGCCAAGATTTAGACTCAGGGTGGTAAGTCTTAGAATCCAAGTTTTCATCGTTTTGCCATACTACCTCTTCATGTTTCAGTTCTACTAATATTTATTGGGTTCCTAATGTCAGATATTAGGCTGCAAGATGCCTCTTTTCATGGGTCTTTCTTTCTGTAAAAAAATATATATATTTGACAGTAATTTTTAAATTTACATTCCAATCATTGCACAACTTTATAATGCACAGTATGATTTTTCTAAGTATGCTTGTAGTACATGACAATCAAGTCAAGGATATTTCCATATATGTCATTTTCAACAAAGAACTTTACATTTTTTTTGTCTGTTTAATGTTTCTTCTCTTTACCTCTTCCACCCACCTCTACCATTCACTCCCTTCCCTTACAGTCTCTAGTATCTACATTTATCCTCTTTACAATCAGCTTCAGATCTTTCCATGTCTGCTAACAAAATGCAGGTATTTGGTACATATTGAGCAGGGATATACAGTGTGTGACTTTCAAAGTCCGGCTCACTTTGCTTAGCATTAAGTCTTCTATGTTCATCCACTTTGAATCAAATGACAGGGTCTTATTGTTTCTCATGGTTGAGAAGTATTCTATAGCATGAGTCCTTTTCTTCAATCTCTACTTCACAGGTTTTACCAACATAGTCACTATCTAGAACTATTGCTTCCCACCATTGTTTTTTCAATTGGGTCTAAAGTGTTCTAAACTAAGTTCCACATTCAGGGGGCCAAAGACCACCATAGGCTCTGTAATAATATGAGTGAAACTCAGCTTCCTCATACACAGTACCTTGATATTGTACCCTACGTTCTCAGGTTCTGTGACTTCTGATGAAAATATATCACTTAGCAAGACAGCCCATTCCATGAGCAGGTAGATCTAAGTGTAAGAAATATGTTTTTCTACCTTTTGATCCTACAAATGATCCTATTTCTGTCATATGTACTGACACAAAATAAGGTCCATCTCTCTTCCATCTGATGGCTTGCAAAATGTTTGCAAATAGCTGTCTCATCTTCCCTGAATCTTCACTACTTGGGGCCAAATACCTGCCCTGACTTCATCTCTCCTGCCTTTAATGTGGTTTCAGCTCCCTCCCTCTCCCACACACTTCAATTTGTCAGCATTCCTCTTAAAGTGTGACACCCAGAATGGATACCAATCTTTGAGGTTTATTACTTTCATTTCTACCACAAATAAGTCCCTGTCAGCATCAATCAATCTAGCACATTTCCTGTGGGGTGACCTTCTAAGACATAGAAAGGGAGGTGAGAGAATTTGGAGACTGTCTTATAATCAGATATATTGGGAATTTTCCCAACCCCCTTTATGGAAGCTCTTCCACTCTGGGGAATCTGTGGGGCAAGTGCAAGCCCTCACTCACCCTTTTGAGGACCTTTTTATTGTTCACTAAGAGCAGTCTGCATTTCTTTTAAATTATGCTACTTGCAGCTTCTGCATCCCATTCTTTAAGAGAGACCTTACTGCAGATGTAATAAACAACAGAGAAAATCATTTGAGTGCTTTTCAAAAACTGAAAGCACAAAACATAACGACCCTCCTGTGCTAATAAGAAAGTTGTGGGGAAAAAGAAATTAAATTAGAGATCAACCCCAGATAGAGGGAGAGGTTAGCAATGATAACCCCATTTTCGTCAGAAATGACAGTCTCCCTCACCCGTTCTCGCACCTTCCCACTCAAATCAGATGCAAGAATCACTCAGGCAAAGTGAAACACATTTCCCCTTCCAAATAGCCCCCCTATGCATCCAAATTTTCCTTCTCAAGCAGTATTATAGATTGACGGTACCAGAACCTCCTGTTACCTTTTTGCCTTGGCTGTCCCCAAAATCCCATTTTGAGCAAGACTAGGGTATGAAGAAAGACATGTCTTAGGAAAAATGAACCCTGGTACAATACAATAACCCACATTTGAGAGGCATAGGGATCCCAGGGATCATCGAGATAGGGCAAGGTGAGGTGACTCAGGGAAAGAAGAATGAGGCTAGTCCCTACATGGACACAAAGCAATTGTCCTGCCCTCTTCTTAGCTTATGGTATTGTTGGTAATTACTACAGACAGTTAGGTCTATGGCAGAAGTAAACAGAAAGCTAGGTCTTCTGTCCTAATCCATGTGAGCAGCTGTAACACAAATACCATAGGGTAGCTTCACCACAGATATTTATTTCTCACAGTTCTAGAGCCTACTAAGTCCAAGATCAAGGTGCCAGCTAATTTGTCTCCTGGTGAGGACTCTCTTCCTTGCTTGCAGATCCCATCTTCTCACTACATCCTTATATGGCAGAAAAAGAGAGGGCAAACTTTCTGGTATCTTCTTCTAAAGAAACTAATCCCATCATAAGGGCCAACCCTCATGACTTCATCTAATCTAATTACTTCTCCAAAGCACCATCTCCAAATCCTATTGGAAGTTAAGGCTTCAACAAGTACATTTTATCAAAGGATACAAACATTCAGTCTGTAACAGTCTTCAATCTCTCATGGGAACACAGATCCAGGGTGGTATCTATTCCAGATAGGGAAAGGTTCTCTCTTACAGATGGTCAAATATTGGGACAAACATGACATGGACAACATTTATTGTTGGGCTGGACTTGGGGCTTTGGAGCAAGGATCACTTTCTCTGTTTACCCCTGTCTCTAGTGTACATCTTCACAACAAAGACCTGAGCCAGTCAGCACTCACTTTTATGTGGTCAGATCATTGGAAACACTCCTCTGACTATTTTCCCATCCTTTGGGTAGATACCCAGCATCCACATGTATTGCAGCATTATACACAATTGCTAAGACATGGAATCAACCCAAATGTCCAAGAACAGATGAGTGGATTTAAAACAATATAGAATATATGTACTATGACATACTGTTCAAGCATAAAAAAAACAATGAGGCCTTGATATTTGATACAAAGTGGACAAATATGGAAGATTTAATGCTGAGCAAAGCAAGTCAGACTATGAAAGAAAGGCATGGTATGTCTCTGCTCAATATATATGTAATATCTACACTCTACAGCAGAAACCAAGGGATTGGAACATATAATAGCAGTGAGGGCAACTGTAGGTACTAGAGACAGAAGAGGAGTGGTAAGTAATGGGTGGTGGGAAAAGAAAAAAACATTTAACAGACAAAAAAATGAAAAGTGATCTGTTGGGTCAACAGGTGGCACAGTGCTTAAGGTGTTGTACTCCAACATGGCCAACCCTGGTTCGGGTCCCAGACCTGGTGGCTTGCTTTCTCACTCTCCCTTTCTCTTTCTCTCTCTGGTCAAATTGAATAATAATAATAACAATAATAAATTAAAATAAATGATTATTTTTAAAGATATGTTATCTGCTATGGTAATATATATTGCAATAACTTTGACTTGACCAATGCTCACTGTATACATGCTGGAAAAAATATTTTGTACACTGTAAAGATGTACAATGCTTAAACATAATAAAAACAAATTAAATTAGGAGCCAGCAGGTGGCATGGACGTTAAGGTGCTGGATAGAACATAGTGTTCTCTGTGGTTTGAGTCCCAAACGTGGTGGCTTAAAAATCACACTGGGCACATGTGCATGTGTGCCCCAAATCCCTAAAGAACAGAGAAGGGATTGTGATATGGCCAATCATCCCCCAAGGGAGTGATATCTCTCTTTCTCCCTCTCTGTCTCTCTCTGGGGACACACATGCCCTACAGCAAAAAGTAAAAAAACTAATAAGTATTTTTTTGTTCAAAAAAAGGGGGGGCACTAAGAAGGCAAAAACCACTCCTCTGTACCCTGTGTTGCCAAGATCTGATCTAGGAGTGCCAAATGCATTTACCAACTTGAACCCCCTAAAACATACAATTCCATAGAATCATAATCTTCTACAAGACTGCATCTCTTCCTTTTTTTTTTTTTTTTTTTTGAGAGATTTTAACTATAGGGCACGTGCGTTCACCAGACAGACAGAGAGAGACATAGAGACAGAAAGCGAGAAATCACCCCCCAGGGGGGATGGTCACGCCACAATCCCTTCTCCTCCATTCTCCTCTCGGGATCCTGGGCACACACGCACACGCGCCCGGCATGAATTTTAAGCAACTAGGTCCGGGATGCAAACTGCGGTCGACTACATGGGAGTCCAGCGACATAGTCATTATGCTAACTGCTGGTTCCCTACCCCCCCGGCATGAGTTTTAAGTCACCGGGTCCGGGACGTGAACCGCGGTCGACTACGTGGGAGTCCAGCGACATAGCCACTACGCTAACTGCTGGTTCCCAAGACTGCATCTCTTCCAAGGACACAAATCTTAGTCAGGGCTTCGGGGCCAGCAGATGGTATAGTGGTTACATCACTGGACTCTTGCATGGTTGACCATAGTTTGAGTCCTGGACCCAGTGGCTTGAAACACCCAGGCACATGTGCATGTGTGCCCCAGATCACAAGAGGAGAATTGAGAAGGGATTATGTGTTGGCCATGCCCCTGGGAGGTGATTTCTCACTCTCTCTATGTCTGTCTCTTACTAGCAAGCATGTGTGCTCTAGGGCAAAAACTTCTACCAAAAAAAAAGAAGAAAGTCAGCGAATCACCCCCAACACCTGTTAACCCACATCCCTCCCAGATGTGGTAACTCCAAGGCAGGGATTTTTTAATTCAAAACAG